TTCTAACGTTCTTTTTTATAAATACAAGTATTTATATATAAATATAAATATTAATATATATATATATATAAAAAGTAAAAAAAAATATAAAAATAACGTTAAACATAAAATAGTATATATTAATATAATATCGATGATGTATATATATATATATATATATATATATATATATATATATATATATATATATATATATTGGTGTAAAGTAAAACTGTGCTGAATGCAAAATAACAGTACTATTAGGTATATATTAATAAATACACATAATACCCCACGATGACTGTACAACTTGGAGTTTCAATGAACTATATATATATATATATATATATATATATATATATATATATATATATATATTGGTGTAAGTAAAAACTGTGCTGAATGCAAAATAACAGTACTATTAGGTATATATTAATAAATACACATAATACCCCACGATGACTGTACAACTTGGAGTTTCACGAACTGATATATATATATATATATATATATATATATATATATATATATATTGGTGTAAGTAAAACTGTGCTGAATGCAAAATAACAGTACTATTAGGTATATATTAATAAATACACATAATACCCCACGATGACTGTACAACTTGGAGTTTCACGAACTATATATATATATATATATATATATATATATATATATATATTGGTGTAAGTAAAACTGTGCTGAATGCAAAATAACAGTACTATTAGGTATATATTAATAAATACACATAATACCCCACGATGACTGTACAACTTGGAGTTTCACGACTATATATATATATATATATATATATATATATATATATATATATATATATATAAAATGGTAACCTCTCAAAGTCTGAGGAAGACGAATGAGTTGCGATAGGCAAAGTACAAGAACTATTTTCTTTTCTTTTTTTAACCAAAAGAATGAAGGTGTTCTATTTTTAAGACTACAGGAGGGTACCTTGATAATATTTTTTCTGGCAATATTTATTCCTTTTCATTTTGTTTGGATAAAAACCTTTTCCTTTAAGGAATGCATGCTCCAGTGACTTTCGACAAGCTTTTGGCTTCCTCAAAAAGACCGCGCTTCTCTGTTAACTGAAAGCTCTCCATTGACAGATCTTAGTGACAAACACTTCCGTATGCCTAATCTAAAAATTGCCTTTTGTTCAATTTTCAGGTTCTTTTTGCCGTTTCCTGCGGCGGTCCTGGAAATTAGGCCACGAAAGCAAAACCTTGCATCTTCCACACACACACACACACACATACGCAATTCAGACCGAAAAAGCGAATCAGTATTTAAGGCAGCGGGCCACCTACCTGACGAGCTTGTGTGAATGGATGGGTGAACGTTTGGCAAGGGTTCAAACTTTGCTAACATCCTACAAGCTATAGGAAGTTGTGGAGAGCAGTAATCACTAACATCCGGAAGGGATACAACAGAAAAGAAAAAAAGTTTATTCGTAATGTCTCTAAAGCTTCCTCGTTGAAAAATATGTTTTTTCATCTTGCTAAGTCCCTTCGGGACATGGGTGATCATAGCTCTCCACAACTTCCTGCCTTTTGTTGCTCTAAATAATTTTTACCATCGTATCCATTTATCTTTGTTCTGACATCACTTCACACCAGCTATATCACGTCGAAACATCGGTTCCCGTACGATCATCGAAGTTAAGCAATGTCGAAACTGGTCAGAACCTAGATTGGTGATTGCTTTGGTATATTAAGTACAGTAAGTTTGGATATGTGGGTGGTATAATGGATAATGGCTCGGAATGTTAGTTCTCCCCGAGCCCCCATCTATGGGTTAATTAGTAAGATTTGTATCATTAAATCATCATAATCTCAAAAAACAGTCCATACAATCTTCAAATATCTACTGGCTTTAAATAACTAACAAAGGGTTGATAAGTCGTAAAGAAAAATATCAGTCATGGACTTTTGATAATCATTGCTTTAAAAAAACTATAGAACACTTTATTGGCAGAAATTCAGTTCCTATTGATACATGCAAAATTATATATATATATATATATATATATATATATATATAAATGGGAGAAAGAACAGATGGAGTAAAAATACACTGTTCGTAGTATTTACTTTTAAAAAATTGCTCAATACAAATTAGAGCAATATACAATTTTATTATAAAGATTAAGATATATATATATATATACATATATATATATATATATATATATAAGAGACTGTAATAAAAACATTTTGAAATCGTTGCACAAAAGCTTTCATGTTTCAATACTATGATTATATTTCTTCACGTGATAAGTAATCATAGTATTGAAACATGAAAGCTTTTGTGAAGCGATTTCAAAATGTTTTTATTATAATCTCTTATATATATATATATATATATTAATGAATGTTTCGTTAAATAATGAAGGCAACCTTTGTCTATATTAAGTAAATTCCTTTCACATTGTCGGATAAGCTTTTTAGTATTATCACTGAAAGTATTTAGTATTTAACGAAACATTCATTAATGAAAAAAATGTTGCCTAAATACACACACAATATATATATATATATATATATATATATATATATATATGTGTGTGTGTGTGTGTGTGTGTGTGTGTGTGTGAGTGAGTGTGTGTGTGTATGTGTATTCTCTTCTACTGGAACGAGCATTAAATTAAATGTTTACATTTACTAATCCTTTTTTTCTTATTTTGTGACAATGAGTGGTCAAAAGAAATTTTAAATTTTCTGATGACTCATTTTTAGAGACGGTGTCTCTTTGCCGTTAACAGTGAAGTACCCCAAGCAAATAGACGTGACAGGTAACAAGAGAATTTTGTTGTACGCACAACTATCTTCTTTAATACCTGGAAAGAGATTATCGAATAAGTAGAATAACAGTAATACGTTAGCAAAACAAAAGTAGAATAATAGTATAGATAATTTCTCTCCCTGTCCCCTTTCAATACTTACACCTTTACATCCTATCTGCCTTCCAATATATATATATATATATATATATATATATATATATATATATATATATATATATATATATATATAGCTGTTCTGAGGTATGATTGAGCATAGCGGTAAATTCGCTGGCATCATGTTAACTTTTCTAGGATCGTCTCAAGCATGCGTAGTGGAAACTTCCGCTAGGCATCCATATTGTTATAAATGTACTTCCAGCAATAGATGCGAGCGCGCGTACACACACACACTTTTTACTCTTCCCTTCAGAAAGACAATCCTATTGCCCCCACCAACTGGCTACGGCTTGCACTCTTACGGCCCACACATTTTCCTGTTTAAATAAATGCACGCCCCCGCGAGCGTATGCAGCAGTTCCGGTAATTAATAGTCCCTACTGGATCTTTGACCCCTAAATCTTTCCCTACTCCCCACATTTTTTTTCTCTTCTCTCTAACATAACGCAAATACTTTATCTCTTCCCTGCCTTCTGGCTGACATGAATCTGTAAGTGATTAACACCATCATATAGGAGTTAGGGTGATTCAAGCAATCATAATGACAGTAGCGTTAGCAGAAGCAGTAAGGTGTTTTTAGTTAAAATTTGATTTAAAGTCCGATTTGAAGCTACAATAAATGCGTATACGAAATTGTATCAATTAAAAGTTACTATTTAACGCTTTATCCTTATTTATTGGTGCGGAAATTCGAATCGGCGAATGTTAATTGAACTTTTCTAGGGTCGTCACTTAGTCTCAAACATGCGTAGTGGAAACTTCCGCTAGGCGTCCATATTGTTATTGTTATAGTTCTAGCAATAGATGCGAGCACACACACCTCACTTTTCTTTCACTTCCCTTCAGAAAGACAATCCCATCGGCAATTTGAATCGACGAGTCGATTCAAGTTCCGGCCTAGTCTGTTGCATTTCAATTTCGAACTAATCAGTCAGTTAATGTTCCATACGTGATGCACACTTAGGCGATCATTTATCTTTCGATACATGACTGACAAAGCAGATTTTTTCCCGTAGTAGTTTGCCTTTTCTTTCTGCGGTAGACTAGTCGCCATCCAAGGCTATAGAACCCGACCTGGCTTGCTATTTATCCATAGCTGGGGGAGAAGAAGAGGATACATACCTTTCCCAAGGATATTAGTATGTAAGTGAATGTAATGGATTCGACTGGAAAATCAGTCAAATGTGCCATGCGTGATACACGCTTAGACGATCATGTATCTTTCGATACATGACTGATGAAACAGATTTTTCCCGCAGTAGGTTGCCATTTCTTTCTGCGGTAGACCAGATGCGATCCAAGGCTATAGAAACTGGTCATTCCTGCTATTTACCCATAGCTAGGAGAGAAGAAGAGGATTCATACCTTTCCCAAGGGTATTAGCACGTAAGTGAATGTAATGGATTCGAGTGGAAAGTCAGTCAGTCAGTTATATGCCGTGCATAATACACGCTCAGGCGATCATCTATCTCTCGATACATGACTGACTAGATAGATTTTTCCCGCAGTAGGTTGCCATTTCTTTCTGCGGTAGACCAGTTGCCATCCAAGGCTATAGAACCCGGTCTGTCCTGCTATTTACCTATAGCTGGGGAGGAAAAGCTAAAGATGCCTTCGAAAAGCTAAGCAAAGTATTAACAAAGAGAAAAAAAATCGTTAGAAACTAACAAAACTAAACTTTTCGTCACGGATGAAGACGAGCCTTGAAGTAACTGAAACGTGTTACTACAGAAGGATACTGAGAACACTATGGATTGAATGTGTAAGCAATGATGAAGTCTTAGATTGGTTTGTTTTCTACGGTTTATCAATTTTTTTGTAGGTTATTTAAAACCAGAAAATATTTTTAGATTGTAAGAATTTTTTTGAGATAATAGTGATGCATGTTTTACTATTTAACCCATAATGGGGTGAGAAGCTTCAGATTCATCCCGAGGTTATTTAGGCGTAACCAAATATAACGAACCCAACAAAAATTGGAACTCCTTTCCCCGATTAACTATTCCGAGCTATTATCGACTATCCCGCTCGCACACCCAAGCTTACAGCACTTCGTATATCCAAGCGGTCACCCATCTAGATACTGACCAGGCTTGACGTTGCTTAACGTCGGTGATGGTACGAGAACAGGTGTTTCAATGTGAAGTGGCTGCAAGCTAAAATTTTTTCGTCTTCTAATAGTCAGTTGTGGTTAGCTTAATTTGTAATGTATAAAAATGTAGTTAGATAAAAAGTAAATGTTGCTTACAAAGCACTGCCCGAGGCACCCAATCAGCCTTGCTTTGGCTCCAGTCGGGGATAAGTACACACATAGATACACAGAGGTTAGAGCAGGTTTTCAGGAAGTGAAGAAAAGTGAATGATTTTTTTTTTTTTTTAATGCTAAGCCTTTACACAAACTTGTATTTCAATCTCTCCAATGTAAGCAGGCGGGAAACCAGAAGTTTCGACATCCAGACAGACAGACAAAGAACGTTTTTTCGGAGGTGTTTTGTGAACGCTCAAAATATTTCTCATGGAAATTACTTTTTCGCTTGACGCCATTTCGGATAGCGAGGTTGGGTTGGGTTAGTTGAACTTTTGACATATCAACCTTTTTTAGTTAATGTCGAAGTCAGTTTCATTATTGTTGTGTTGTTCTTATTTGATTGTCTAAGCATTGACTTGGTTTGGGGATAGTTAAAATGGTCGTTTATATTTGAGCCTGTAAGCATTGACTTGATTTGGTAAATATTGGTCCGTTAAAGTACTTTAATGGCTAGATCATCCACAGTAACTTTCTGTCCAGGTTCACACAACATTTCACCTATCTTGGCAGATCTGTCATCAACAAAACTGATAAAAACATAAACAAAAAGAAACTATATAAAATCGACTAGGCACAACCAAACAAAAAAAGTTTAAAATTTCAGCGTTCCCTCTTTGTGTTCATCGGTGCAAGGATTTTGAGGTCTCCGTCTTAAATCTATGATACGATGCCCCCACACTCTACTACATTTCAATTTTTATAAGGTAGTATTCATAAAAAATACAAATTCTATTGTAACCTAATTATGTACAATAATAGATCATATGCAATAGAGGCAAACAATTCAACTAGAAAAATTGAGAATAGAATGTATCTAAAAAATTTTATTCACTTTCACACTAATACCTTTGGAAAAGGTATGAATCCATCTCTTTACTTCCCAGCTAGTGGTTAATAGCGTGGCCGTTTTTGCTCTGGTTGGTAACCAGTCTTGGGGAATGGCTACTTTGAATTCAAAACCAATTGTGTGTGAAGCTGGCAACTCCATCCTCTAAAAATCTACTTGGTACAGAGACCAGAGCAACGACATCTATCGTTGTATGGTCGTGACCCTATTCTACAGAAGACTCTACAATACTTACATACATGCAGGGTCAGTGCAACGGTCTCAAGATTCCCGTTCCAAATCTATGATACGGGGACCCTCACTTTACTATATCTCAATTTTCATAAAGAAGCATTCATATAATATACAAATTTTATTGTAACCTAATTATGTACAATAATGGATCATATGTAATCTAGGTAATCGACTCAACTAGAAAAACTGTTTAACGGGGTTGAATGCTGGGTATGTACATGAAAGTTACCCTGTTTTGGGGTTTATTTGTAGTAGTAGTTGATAGAGGAATCCTTTTTCCTTTTTTTATACTAAAAACGAAATGAATAAAAAAAAAGTACAACAATAACATAAACAATAATACTAGAGACATATTTTGTATTTTTCTTTTTCGTGATGTGAATAATAGATATTGGTATGGTGTATGTTAAAAATGTTCTCAGTGTTATTGTCTCTTTTGTTTCTTTAAAAGTTTGTGCTTACTTGTTTTTGCTTGTCCCGAGAATTTCGTTAATGAGGACAACGTTTGAAATCGTCAGTTTTCGATTTTCACCGAAGGATGAGGATACGTATGTGTTGGGCCGTTTTACTATTGCTACAGTCACTTGCTACTCTACCGACCCTAATGCCCGAACTGTCATCGCTTGTGGTGGAAGGGTTGTGTTCATAATCAGATTTTAGAATCATGAAATATCTTTATCATCTTTCATCACTAGTGAGTGGTAAGGTTATTTTTAGGGTGATGATTTTTTTTTTATTTTTATTTCTGGGATGATGAAATATCCTTCTTTTCTATCATCACTAATGGCAAGGTTATTTTTAGAATGATGAAATACCATCATTATTCTAGATCATAACAACTGAATGTATCACATCAACGTAAACATCACTTTCGTCTGATGAAGTCATAAAGTGACTTCATCAGACGAAGTCACACGAAATTTTTTTTCCACTTTGTCATGGATTTTCCTAAAATTATTGATATATAAAAATGTATGCTTCTTTTTTCCCCATATCTGAGTCTATAACTTGTTTGGGGGAATAGCTAAGTATTGATCGTTTATATTTGAGCCTATACGCGTCTTGATTTCGCTCAAGTGATTAAAACCGCTTTCTGACTATGAGACCCGGGATCGAATTTTGTCATGGTTGATTAGATGTCATCGACCTGGGAGGCACGCCCCGTGTCCTGCACGGTTTGACACGTGCTTGTAAGTGAAATTCGGAAGACTGAACTCTTCAGAAGACGTCGATGGTTATACTGGCACGAAGTCACAAGTCATCGTGACCGAGATTATTAACGTAAAATTAGTAATGAGATTCGATTGTGCGCTCGCTCATGGAAACTATAATTAAGGAGCGCTCAGTATAGCTGCAGTATAAACCACAAATAGACTTTGCGGATGAACAAACATAAATGTGTCTGTGAGGGCGTCTGCAACAGGGATTTTTCATTTTCATCGAAGGCGACTGGTCTACTCGGTCTGTCCTGCTATTTACCCATAGCTGGGGGGAGAAGAAGAGGATCCATATTTTTCCCAAGTAAGCACGAAAGTGAATATAATGGATTTGACTGGAATTCGAACTCGGCTCTCTGATTCCTCAATCCGAGCCGCTATCCATGTCTACTGGAAAATGAGTAAACGAATATTATTACGTCTATAAGCATTGACTTGATAGGTGGCCTCTTTTCAGTAGTGCTTTAACACACAGCAAGGAGGTGGCTTCTAAGCCCCACCAGAGAGGGCAATAATAGCGGGGTGGGGACAGACCCCTACTAATGTAGATTTTTCGTAAAAGTGAAGTGGCGTAAAACGAACATTCGAAAAGCGGGGGAGGTCTATATTTGTTTTCCAGGTTTGATGATATTTATTGTGTTAGGGTTGTTGGTTGTGACGTTGCTTGTAGGGGTAGTCGTCGTCGTCGTCGTCGTCGTCGTCGTCTTAGCCGCAGTTGTAGAAGTTCTAATACAACTCCGAGAACCTGGGGCGTTTAAGGGCATCTGTCCTAGTTTTTCGTTTTTCTCTTTAGGCCCCTGGGCCTGCTCGCTCATCCTTTCGCGATCCCGCTCTCGCACCGACCGGCTTCGTCTAATCTCAGTTCCTTATCTTTCAAGCCTCATTATCGCCGTCACCATCCACGTCACGATCGTTGTCATTTCTCACGCACGCACACACGCACGCACGCACGCACGCACGCACACGAAACGACCATCCCTTTTCCTACCCCTGACATCATCTTCCTTTCTTCTTGACTATCACAACCCTGGCCACTTTCCTGAACAGCTGGTAAACTACTGAAGCAGACTTCCTCTTTTTTTTTCTTTCTTCTTTTCTTTTGTTATTCCTTTTCTTTTTCTATCTATTTCTCTCTCCCCCCCTCTCTCTCTCTCTCTCTCCCTCTCATCATAATTCCTTAATTTTTTTTCTTCTTTTTTTTTTCCTGAGGAGCTTGCTATGAACTCATTTACATTAAACCCCGGACAAACGAAAAATAAGAAAATGAATGAGGCAATTTCACTCAATCGTTTTGAGCAACAAAGAAACGACCGGAAGGTTTGAGACTCCATCTTGCCTCTCCGAAATTATAACACTAATAAACGTGTCATCGTGTAGTAATGCTAAAAGAGTTCAACTTCCAGAATGCTTCAGAAGCTAGACGGTTATGGCTCTCCACATATTCCTTTTCTTTACTATCTGCAAATTTCTATAATTTTTGGAATAAGACAGTGGAGTGATTTCTCGTTGAATTCTTCATGGTTTATGAATTCAAACACGCCTTTTTTCTTTCGGAACATCGGCAGTCATGGCTCTCCACAGATTCCTTTTATTTATTACTAGCAGTAGAGCCGGCGTTGCCCGGGGATATAACAGTAAGAGATAGATCAAGTATCCACCATCATAAAGACTGAAAAATAAAATTGACAAAGATTATTGTTTAAGGTTGACGGACACACATATCTTAATTAGTTTTTTTTTTTACGAATTGGTCAAACCCAAACTCAAACAAAAACATTGTTTTCAATCGTTATGAGTCTCCCGATTGAATAGAATTTTATAAACAATTGTCTTGTAAATGGAATTTTTAAAGCATTCTGAATATTAAAAATAAAGAAAAAAGTGTGCAAGAGAATAAGAAACACTACCTGCCAAAAAAAAAAGTGAATTTTTGTTTTATCGGCTGAAAAATGTAGGAAATCCGATCCCATATATAAAGGAATACACACTCACAAACAACCTGGGTTTTTAACCCGATGTGAGTTATCCCCCTTTCATTCACACGTTGTCTCTTGATCGTGTTTTCAAATTGATTTTGTGCAAAAACAATTGTATTTTTCCATTTTTGGCGCTGTTAGAACCATCGCAAGGTAATTTTATGTAGTCCTGTGAAGTTTTGTTGAAATCGGTTGAAAAATGTAGGAAATCCGATCCAATATATAAACGTTACAGACACACACACACACACACACACAATCTGCGTTTTATAATAAGTAAGATCTGTAAAATTGATATGTGTTCTTCGGAATGATGGTAGAAGAATTTTCCTTTGCTTCCTATAGGGTGTTGAATTCAAAAGTGTGCTTCTCTCTTCAGGACATAAACAGTTGTGGCTCTCCGCGTTCTCCTTTTCTTTATTATCTGTAAATTTGGTACGTGTTCGTGGAAATGATGCTAGAAGGATTTCTCTTTGCTTCCTATAGGATTTTGAATTCATAACTTTCCTTCTCTCTTCAGAACATAGGCGGTCATGGCTCTCCGCAGATTCCTTTTATTTATTATCTGTAAATTGACATATGTTCTTCAGAATGATGGTAGAGGGATTTTCCTTTGCCTCCTACAGGATTCTGGATTCAAAAGTTTCCTTCTCTCTTCAGGTAATAGGCGGTCATGGCTCTTCACAGATTCCTTTTCTTTATTCTCTCTAAATTGGCATGTGTTCTTGGGAATGATGCTAGAGGGATTTCCATTAGCTTCCTTTAGGATTTTCAATTGAGAAGTTTACTTCTCTCTTCGACACATAGGCGGTCATGGCTCTCCACAGATTCCTTTTCTTTATTATCTGTAAAATTGGCGTGTGTTCTTGGGAATGATACTAAAGGGATTTCCCTTTGCCTCCTACAGGATTTTGGATTCAGAAGTTTCCTTCTCTTCGGAAAATAGGCGGACATGGCTCTCCACAGATTCCTTTTCTTTATTATTGCTGTGGCCTTGTTAGGGGTTCGGGGTGATCTAAATGCTGTGGGGGTTAACAGTTTCAGGGAAGAAATAGTTTTATTTTAATAACAAAGTAATTTAATTGTAGAAATCGTTACAAAAATCGGTTATTTATAAATAGAGCAGACCGTATTGAAAACAAATAATAAATACAATTATTTTTTAAAAAATCTAATGTTTGATATGAAAATTAGTTATCTCTGGCGTAATATCCTCCACGTTGAGCAATATATATATATATATATATATATATATATATATATATGAATAAAAATGACAATAGGAAAACTGGTAATTGCTGACGCGTTTCGTCCAATATGGACATTATCAAAGCAAAATACGAAAAATATTGATAAAGTCGACATTGGACGAAACGCGTCAGCAATTACCAGTTTTCCTATTGTCATTTTTATTCATAAATATTGTCTTCTCTACTGGTTAAATCGGAGAAATTTTCATGTATACATATACATATATATATATATATATATATATATATATATATATATATATATATATATATATAATTTATTCGAAAATTATAACCTAAATATGTTATAAAATCATTACAAAATTGCCATTTTGTTTCAACACTTCTGGTGTCTTCTCAAGTGATGGTGTTGAATGTAGAATAAAGAAAAAAAGTCTTTAATATACATTCAACACCATCACTTGAAAAAGACACTTTTTTAAAAAAGTAGTTTTTGTTTATTGAAATTTATTCCGTATACACCAATCCTATATTTGGGTATATATATATATATATATATATATATATATATATATATATATATATATATATATATATTAGTAAATGAAATATAATATATATTAGTAAATAGAAATAATAAACCTGTTGTTAGATAAATTATGATATAAGTAACAAAATAATCGTTCTAAGTAACGTGGTTAATCGAAATAAATGTTTATGAAATTTCTTGCATTGAATTAATTTTCATGGTTTGGAGAGTACATCAACACGAATTGTTGAGCTATACATATTAGACTAGCAGCATGACCCGGCGTTGTCCGGGCTTGATTAAAAAATCATACGACTCATACAGCAATCGTTATCACTTGACTTAAAATATTTTTGCCCTTCCTTGCCTTTAAAGGAGTGCCCTTGCCGTGCTGATGTTGCTACATGTCATACTTCTTGCCTATCTCACACTGCGAATTTTTTCGAAGCTCTATACTAAACATTAAATCTGTTACGAAAAAAGAACTAAACAAAATGAACACAAAAAGATCAGCTTTAAAAAAGGACTCGTAACTGGAAAAACCGAATGAAAAAAGAATGTTAACAACAAATACTTTTTCACACCCAACCCAGTTCTGCGGAATCAGAATCAACGTTGAGTTTAAGCAGGCGAATGAGTGAATTGAAGTAAAGTGCCATGCAGATTTAATTTTTTCCCACTTGTGACGAATGCAGCTATCGATTTTTTGTGCATGCTAGCATGCTAGTTAACATTCGTGTCAGTCGGCTGTTGACTCTCACACTGGCCAATAGAATCTTTCTGCCTATTCGTGGCAGCCAGCTATAGGCTCTCACTTTGGCCAGTACAAAATGGCCACAAACTACATGAAAACTGCCGTAGAAGCATGAAAAAATCGATTATTTCCACTATCGATGGGAGTTGGGAAATGCAAAGTCGGTCTTGGCCTTCCCGCTAACTTGGAGCATGTGCATGTAAATGCCGACAAGATTTTTATTGCCGGTAATATTTTCAATGTTTCTGTTCCTAATGTTTTCACAGCCAGTAACCCCTTGTCTCTTAGTGGCTTTACTGCCTTGCATGGGGTGATACTGATTAAAAAGAATCTATCTATATCTCTGAGATGAGGTACATTACTTATGGATTAGTATGGTTTGGATTGGTTTGTCTTATTTTACAGCATATCAACCTCAATGGGTTATTTAATGTCAACAAGATTTTTATTCCTGGTAATATATTTTTTCCAAAAATGTATTGATAATATTTTTTTTTCAAAAATGTATTGCTGGTAATAATTTTTCCAAAAAGTATTGCTTGTATTAAAACCTAATTTTACACTTTCATAGTGTTTTGACCCCAGCTTGGAGGTTAATTATTTACCCATAGCTGGGACCCAAACAGGTTTTACCACACCAGTGAGAAACAAAGAAAAAAGCACTGAGCTGCTACGTAATGTCATTCCTCCTATATGGTAGTGAATGCCGGTCAATTTCATCACAGATGAAGAAGAGACTTAATGCAACAGAGATGTGGTTCTACAGAAGGATACTGAGAATACTATGGTCAGAACATGGAAGCGGCGAATAGGTTTTAAGGAAAATCGAATCAAAAAGGACTATTTTACTTAGAATCAGAAAGTGACAGTTTAAATTTTTGGGACATATAACGAAGAAAGAGAGTTTGGAGAATTTGACACTCACAGGGCGTGTTGAAGGCAAAAGGGAAAGAACGAGTAACCTACCTAACTTGTGTAAATGGATGGTATAACAGGAACAGGGTAGGTTAGTCACGAGATAAGCATTACAACGGATAGGAAGACGTGGAGACTCATGATCGTCCATTTATTGTATGAGGTCTGAATAAAACCTAACTTTACCAGATACTCCAATTTCAAATATAAGGCCCGGAAAAATATTTTGGAATGTGTTTTTCTTTTTTTTTTCTTTTTTTCTTTTTCTTTTTTTCTTTTTCTTTTTTTTTTTTTTTTTCCTTTTTTCGAAAGTGAGGTCGAAAGGGGGTCTTATATGACATTCAAAAATAATAAGGTAATCCGTAGTATTGCCTCGGTTAAAAAAGAAGGGTTCTTTTTGTGGGTATATTATGGTTAGAGAAGACGCAAATTTAAAAGATAGACGAAAACGATTTTGCAGATATTAACTAAATGTCCCAAAGCATGAAACCTTATATCCCTGGGAAAAGTAAAAGCGTTTTCGCTTAATAGTCTTGTTCATATAAATGTTATAGCTATCCAACAGCAAGAAGACATCATGTGGAGTCAGTGGGGGCATCATGTTCCACGGTCCTTTTAAAAACTTTTCGAAAGTACTTTCTCTCTTTTTGTTTTAATGCTGTATAATGTTTAATCTACATAACTGTGGATGCTGAATAAAAGTCAGCACAAATGGGAAAAAAAAATAAGATGTAAAGCGACAGAGATGTAATTTAACAGACGAACGTAGAAATGACGAGTAAGCTGAAGTTTTTAGATTTTAACTAAAAATGAAAAGTTACTTTACTCTAAACTTCAAACACAATAAAAATTCTAAAGGTTTACGGCCATATCACGTTGAAACACCGGTTCTCGTACGATCATCGAAGTTAAGCAACGTCGAGTCTGGTCTATACCTAGATGGGTGACCGCTTGGGAATACCAGATACTGTAAGCTTGGATATACGAATGGTATGGCTTACGACCATATCACGTTGAAACACCGGTTCTCGTACGATCATCGAAGTTAAGCAACGTCGAGTCTGGTCTATACCTAGATGGGTGACCGCTCGGGAATACCAGATACTGTAAGCTTGGATATACGAATGGTATGGCTTACGGCCATATCACGTTGAAACACCGGTTCTCGTACGATCATCGAAGTTAAGCAACGTCGAGTCTGGTCTATACCTAGATGGGTGACCGCTTGGGAATTCCAGTTACTGTAAGCTTTGATATGCGAATCAGTATCTAGATGGGTGATGTTGGTTGATTTCATTATATTTCCATACGCTCAAACACCCTTGGGAAAGGCATGAACTCATCTCTTCTCCCTCCCATCTATGGCATTAATTAGTCTGACTTGAATCAGTAAATCATCAATATGTCCAAAAATTCTTACAATCGGAAAAGATATTTTCTGCCTTTAAATAAACTGTAAAAGGTTGATAAAACCGTAAGAAACAAAGTCAAAAATCTAAACTTTTTTTATTATTGTAGTGTTCATTATTGTCAAAGATAAAATTCTTGTGTTCATCTGAAAGTTAAATTTATTACGTGTGGAATGAGGAACGCTGAATCAGTGTGTGATCGCTAACACTATTTAAGGGGAGGTAACTAAGTGTGGGGTTGAGGAGTTTTTGGGGTTTTTTTTTACGAAATAAGTAGTGAAAAAGCTATTAGAGCAAACCTAGGCATTTCAAACTATCTATTGTACACATTTTAAAACATTTGCGGAGTATTCATAATTAATTTTATTAAGGTTTGGTTTCAGTTTTTTTTTTTTTTAATATAGGTATGTTCGAGAATTTATTAATGAATATACAACGATAATGTTATCGACGTTGAATACTATCTTTATTCACTAATATTTACTTGAAATATATACAGCTTATGGGTGACTTTCGCTGGATTTCGCAATTAATTTCGATTATTCCCAAAAATAATTTACTTTACTTATTTAAAAATATGGTTCATTTTAAGCACTAGCTGTAATCTTAAAAGTTTAAGAAAATATTCTCTGTAATCTAATATTTTATTGAATTTTAGTCTAGAATTTTGGCACTAAATTTCCTGTAGATGTCGCTGATATACAAACGCGTATGAAAAATCACGCACAGTGTATGACCGTCAGACAACCAGTTTTGCTTTTATTTTTATAATATAGATAGTAAATGTAAAAAAAAAAATCCTTCGACAATATCGTTGTTTGTTACTTAATTAAACAAATGGCTGAGAGTGTTTCCAAGAAAGTTTACCGTAAATTGTTCTGCATACATGCTGTTCCTCTAAGTACGTTTATTAGAGAGTGAATTCGCCATTTTTTTTTTTTTTAGCCGCTCAAACAAGAACAAACAAAATAATGTTTCATTCGTCGCGTACATGTTGACGTAAACGCACAGATGTAAACAAGTTTACCAGTGGTATAGATTAATTGGTACGAAGAAAGAGGTGGAGGTTCTGAAGGTCAGGGGGAGGAGGTGGTGGCGCTAGTGGCAGTAGTGGTCGTGGAGGTAGAGGAATTGGACAAAAGAGGAAAAGTGAAGAAAAAGAAAGCAACCGACCATGAGTCTTTGGAAAGTAAATTAGGACAACCCACTCTCCAGGCAGGGTTAACTTGAGTGCGTTCATTTTTTTTTTCTGAATTTGATTTGTGCGCATGCGCGTGCACGGGCATGCGCACACAAATAATATTTTCTCATTCTTATATTTTCACGTTTCTGTTTTATTTATTTCCAGCAACTCACTTTTCTTGGGTGCTTCGAATTGATGCAATGGTTTGTAAGCTGGTCTCAGTTATCACTGAGTAGTGAGATCAAACTCCACTGAATGCCCAATATATGTGGCCTTGTGCCAAGACTAAAATATGCTTAGTACTTAGCAATTAATTACTTTCCTTGGGCGCATTAGTGTCGGGTAATGGTTCACAAACTAGATTAGTAGACCACTACCAGTTCATTGTGAGTTCGATCTTCAATAGGCGTGCCAAAAACTTGGCCTTAGAGCAAACCGCATAAGTATTGGGCACCTGTGGAGTAATGGATAGCGGCTCGGATTGAGAAATCTGAGAGCCGAGTTCGAATTCTAGTCGAATCCATTACATTCACTTACGTGCTATTACCCTTGGGAAAGGTATGAATCCTCTTCTTTTTCCCCAGCAGGTAAATAGCTGGACAGATCGGGTTCTATAGACTTTGATGGCAACTGGTCTACCTCAGAAAGAAATGGCAACTACTGCGGGAAAAACTTCCTCGTCAGTGATGTATTTTTCAATAAATGATCGCCTTAGCGTGTATCAATCATGACAAATAACTGACTGATTGAATACCTCAGAGTGAGGCAATGATCGGTGACCTAATCTGGTTGACTATTAGTACCCAGTAACGAGTTCGATCCTCACTGGGTGTCCTATTCATTTCTTGTGCTAAAACAAGGCTAAACATAGTAAATAACTCCCAGGGCCTCTCGACATGAAGTAATGATTAGCTAAGCTACTACTTCATTTGTCAAAAAGTAAACAAAGCTTAGACGATAACAACACAGTCCTTGGATACCCGACATGAGATAATGGTTAACAAGCTATCTTGGATGACTATTACTACTAAGTAGTGATCTCGATCCTCATTGGGTACCCATAATTTTGCCCCATACTTGTGACCTTGTGCTAAATGAAGCAAAGCTTAGTATATAATCTGGGGTGGGGGACGTTGGCGTGGGGGTGATGGTTAACGAGTTAGCCTGTGATCATTACTACTGGGTACTTCTACAGAGTTTTATATGCGTCAATTGTCATGGCTTCTTGGAATAGCAAAGTGATTTCCCTCTTGCCTTTTCTATGCTTACAAATTCAGTTTTACATCTCTTAAAAAGTTATCAAAATTTAGTGTCTTATCCCCAAGGATAGAAACTTATATCAAATAGTATCTATCTATCTATCTATCTATCTATCTATCTATCTATCTATCTATCTATCTATCTATCTCAGCCTGTTCATTATCTATGTCAGTCTCTTCATATCTATTTATCTATCTATATATCTGTCTGTCCCAGTCTGTTCATACCTACCCTCTCTCTCTCTCTCTCTCTCTCTCTCTCTCTCTCTATCTATCTATCTATCTATCTATCTATCTATCTCAGTCTTTTCATTATCTATCTATCTATCTATCTATCTATCTCAGTCTTTTCATTATCTATCTATCTATCTATCTATCTATCTATCTATCTATCTATCTATCTATCTATCTATCTATCTGTCTTTTCATTATCTGTCTATCTCAATCAATTCATATATATGTATCTATTTCAACCTATTCATATCTATGTATGTATGTATTTATCTATCTCAATCTATTCATATATAGCTGCTGCAATCTAGTCATATCTATATATCTATCCATATCTACCTCAATCAATTCACATCTATCTATCTATCTATCTATCTATCTATCTATCTATCTATCTATCTATCTATCTATCTATCTGACATGGTCTTCTACTGCTTTGTTTCTCTACAGCAGTACTTGTTTCTTTAGTACCTCGCTTTGATTTTTTTTTGCGCTACACGTTCTTCTAACAATTCGCTCAAATTCGCTAAAATTGCTTTAATCTCTTACCTCTCTTGTCTTGAATTTTGCGCGCTGTGTGTGTCAACTTCTCCAAGACTTCCTTATTGTGCACCCCCCCAACCTCAAAATTCCATTTTTCAGTGGAAGAATCGGTTTTCTGTAGCCCCTCTTCTTGAACCTTCCCCACTATTCCCATGCAATATCATGTTATTCTTAACATTTGTCCGTAAAATAATATCCCGTTCACTTCAAAGCTACTTCATTATTTGCAATCAAATTGTCCAAACGTCTATACTCTTTTGATCGGCGAGACACCATTTTTGTGTGTTTTATTTGATTCTGGTTACGTTCAATGTTCAGCACATTGCATTCTCGTCATGGGATTTACTAATGGTGGCTTAGACGTAGCACAAGTTCACTTGTATGGTACACAGTGAGAATCGGACTTACAACTCAGTCATAATTAATCTAGCGAGATTTGTTAACCATCACAACACTTCGGAGCGCTCTAAATTGATTTACTAAGTATCTGCGTTGTGGTGTAATGGATATCGTCTCGGAATGAGAACTCGGAGAGCCGAGTTCGATTCCCAGCCGAATTCGTTATATTCACTTACGCACAAATAGCCTTCGGAAAGGTATGAATCCAACACTTCTCCTCCCATCTATGGGTTGAATAGTAAAACAGATTGGATTCTTTAGCCTTGCTTTGAATCAGTTTACCTCAGAAAGAAATGGCAACCGACAGAAAAATCTTCCGCCTCGTCAGTCATGTATCGACAGATGTGCCTAAGCGATCACGTATCACGCATGGCAGTTAACTGTCAGTCAGTTATCTGCCATGCGTGATACACGCTTAGGCAGATAACTGATGACATTTCTTTCTGCGGTAGACCAGTTGCCATCCAAGGCTAGAGAACCTAGTCTGTCCTGCTATTTACTCATAGCTTGTAGAAGAGGATTCATACCTTTCCCAAGGGTATTAGCACGAAAGTGAATGTAATGGATTCCACTAGAAAGTCAGTTATGTGCCATGCGTGATACACGCTTAGGCGATCATGTATCTTTCGTTACATGACTGACGAGGCAGATTTTTTTCCCGCAGTAGGTTGCCATTTCTTTCTACGGTTAATGAGTTGCCATTCAAGGCTGTATAATCCGGTATGTCCTGCTATTTCGCCCCCCCCATAGCTGGGGGGGGGGCGAAAAGGATTCATATCTTTCCCAAGGGTATTATTAGCACGTGAGTGAATGCAATGGATTCGACTGGAATTCGAACTCTGCTCTCTGATTCCTCAAAGTGTTACTTAGGTGTCGCACAAGGCCGCATATATGGTACACACAGTGAACATCAAACTTATTACTCAGTTTTAATGGATCTAGCGAGACTTGTTAACCATTACAACGCCCGACAAAATCGTCATAGTAATATTTATCGTATCTTTAACATTTTTAAAATTGTCTCTGATTTGTTCCGAGGCTATCGTGTCTTGTAAGTTAACTTCGTGCCTGATATACAATAGTATGGATGGACTGCAAAAACAGTCGAGGCAATAACAGGAAGAAGTATTCTATTAGAAAACCGTGGCGGGCGTGGTGGACTGACAGTGGATAGGATCTCTTAGGAAGGAGGGGAAAAAGAAACATCATCCATATTAGTGGCACGGTAAGAGCGAAGGGTAGGGAACTTTAGAAGTGTTAAAGAAAAGGTGTGGTGTGCGTGACAGCGGGGTTCGGGGTCTGGAATGAAACCCCACGAGTAGAGGCGGAGGTGAACGCGAATGGATGAGAAACATCTTAAAGTACATACGACCAAATGTTCTCTTTCTCTTTTCTTCGGAGTTTTTGTCTTTCACTTTTCCTTATGTATACTTTGAGTTTCTTACTTCTCCTTTACCCACCCCCCAACGATTTTTTTGGGGGTGGGGGTGTGAGGGAAGCATTTTTTAATCATACGCACATATTTTTTCCAACAGCCGATATATCTTTTTCATGAAACATTTATTTATTCTAGGTCTTTCATTATTTTTTTTTTATTTGACTCTTTCATTCTTTTTTTGTTCATTCTGTCGTTTAAAGTTTCTACTTTTGTCCTTTCTTTTTCTCTCTTTTTTTCTTTATTCTTTCTTTTCCTGTTTCACTCTTTTTTTCTTTCTCCTTCTTTAAATTTTTTCCAGTTTTTATTTTCGTCTCTCTTTTTCTTACATTTTCCTATCAGTCTCTCTTTTTTCGTGATTTTCTTTCATTCTCTCTTTCCTCACGTTTTTCTTTCAGTCTCTATTTTTCTCACGTTTTTCTTTCAGTCTCTCTTTTCTTACATTTTTCTTTCAGTCTCTCTTTTTCTCGCGTTTTTCTTTTATTCTTTTCTTTTTGTTTTTCTTGCAGTCTCTCTTTTTCACACGTTTTTCTTTTATTCTCTCCTTTTCTCATGTTTTTCTTTCATTCACTCTTTTTTCTTTCATTCTCACTTTTCTCACGTTTTTCTTTTAGCCTCTCTTTTTTTCTCAAGTTTTTCTTTCATTCTCACTTTTCTCACGTTTTTCTTCCAGTCTCTCTTTCTCTCGCGTTTTTTTTATTCTCTCCTTTTCACACGTTTTTTTTTCAGTCTTTCTTTTTCTCACGTTTTTCTTTCATTCACTCTTTTCTTAATTTTTTTCTTTCAGTCTTTCTTCTTCACACATTTTTCTTTCATTCTCTCTTTTCTCACGTTTTTCTTTCAGTCTCTCTTTTCCACGCGTTTTTCTTTCATTCACTTTTTTCTCACATTTTAATTTCAGTCTGTTCTTTTTCAAGCTTTTCTTTTAGTCTCTATATTCACCATTTTTTTCTTTCACTGCCTTTTTCTTCCATTTTTCTTTCATTCTCACTTTTCCCTTTCAATTCCGCCTTTTTCTCTCGTTTATTTAATCGAGTGCTGATCTGGATAGTGGCTCAGAATGAGAAATTGGGTGGCGGTGTTCGAATTTCAGTCGGGTTCGTTACATCCACTCACGCGCAGATACCCTTGAAAACTGTATAAACCCATCTCCTCCCCCTGCTATTGGTTAAATATTAGGGCTTTTATCGGAAATAAAAAATCATTGCTATTCCTAAAAAAAAAAAATTATTTTTACAATCCCCAAAATATATTTCGGCTTTAGATAATCCACCGAAGGTTGATAAGCTGTAAAAAAAAAAAAAAAAAAAAAAATCAATCAATTATCCCACTGATATTTTTTTATTATATATTTTATGTCCCTTATTTTATTCCCCCCCCACCTTTCAGCTGTTATATTTTCCCTTCCTTCCTGGTCACACACACGCACACACACACACACACGCGCGTGTGCGCACCTTTTCTCCCTCTACCCGTCCTTCTCGTTAATTTAATTTTTTTCTCCCCTCTCTAATTGCTTTCATTCTCTCTCTCTGCTTGCATTTCTTTCTCTTGAACACACACAGGCAGCCACTTTTTCTGTCTTGTTTTGCTTACATCTCCCCCTTCTTCTTTGACACCCCCCCTAAATGTCTTGTATCTCTTCTCACTCCTCTCTCGTTTCTCTTCGTCTATTTTATTACTGTTTGCCGACCTTACCTACTTAGCCCAGTCCGTTGATGTTGGTTTACCTACCCAACCCTGGGGTCTGTTGATAGAATCCATCCTCTCTCCGACTCCAACGGCATATAGCAGAATGCCGTATTTAAAGTGGGAATCCCGTGAACAGTGGCGATTCTGCAACTCTGAAAGTAGGGGTGGGCACTTTGGCAAGATTTTCCTGTGGAGGGGGTGGCAAATTCAAGCCGCGTCTTTATTTTCGTACTACACCACTATCGTATAAACAACTTAGAAATGAGTTTTAGTATATGTTACTGATATGTCCCGGAAAGGGATATATTTGTTCGAAGTAGTAAAGCGGTTTTAGACTACTTTAAACCGAGTAGGACAATCTACCAGGTAACCGTAATGGACTGGTCCTCGTCGTAGCGGTAGGCAATAGACGTAGGCAATAGGCGAAGACTAGGCGTAGCCAATAGGCGTCGTCCATGTACCTCCACATCAGTCTGTATTTATGGCTGACACAAGCCAATCATATTACTGTAAGGGGGAACCCAGGTTTATGCATATTCATTACATTAGTTACTTTATTAAATTAAACGGAATAGCTTTTCATTCATAGTAGTGGAGTTCTAATCTATTCTTGCCTTCTTTTCCACTCGCAAGCTGTTGGACCACAAGAGAGGGGTTAACTTCAAAATAAAATGAAAGGGTTAATACTAACGTCAGTACTAGCAGAAAAGTGTAATTTGTCTGCTCTGATTTTTTCCTCTACAACTTAAAAAAAAGGGGGGGACAACCAAGGGGCCAACCACAATTCAGGGGGCATTGGTCTCTTGGCCCCCGTAGAATCGCCACTGTCTGTGAATATATGTTAATTGACTGATTGATTGAACAACCAGTCAGGATCAAACCCTACGATCCTTTCGTTCGCTGTATAATGTGCTTCGCCAGGGCTACATACGGGTTTTCAAATTCGTTTTGCTCTTGGATTTGTTTCCGACCAAAGTTGAAGGTCCCAGTCTCTTCTACTATTTACTTACTAGGAGCAGAAGAAATGGACGACGATGGCATATTATAAAGTAAACGACCACTAAATCTTTTAACTATATCAAACTACTTTATGTTGAGTGATTGTCCTTGAAACTAGAACTGTTCAAGTCGCTAGAGGGCGTGCTGTTGGATGACTATAAACTTGCCACAATTCACGATGACTATCATTTTATTTTGAATGCTGCCATATATAGTCTGGTGCTCCCGCTGTTCATCGACAAAATCCAGAGACGGATATGCAACATGGTTGGTCCTGATCTAGCATCGCGTCTGAAGTCGCCATCTCATTGACCCACTGTGGCTTCTTTCTGTTTTTTTCTACAAGTACTTTCACGGTAACTGCTACGACAAGCTACTTTCGCTGGTTCCCAAACTGCGTGAATTTAAGCGTGCTACTAGGTTGGCATCTCGGTCCCAACCTTTTCACTCTCCAAGATGTTCTAGAGATGTCTTAACTTTATTTGGGTGACGAATATGTTTTCATACCATTGTACCTATGCGTTGAAACACCTGTTCGCGTATGATCACCGAAGTTAAGCAACATTAAGCCTGGTCAGTACCCAGATGGGTAAACACTTGGAAATATCAGATGCTCTAATGGATGAAATACTTATGAATATTGCAGAGTGATGAAGGTTGACACATTTGCGGTTACATTGTTGCCTGGATGTGCTGATCCGTTTTGGGAAAAACTGGAAATTGCCGTTTACTGAAAATGAATGGCTATAAAGATGCTGATAGCAGTTTCTGAGGTGTGGGGGAGGGTATTTTATTTTCGATTGAATACTCCGCAGTATAAACTATGCTAAGCAGTACGCCTAATACAAAACATAATAAAAATAATTTAAAAGACAAACAAATGGTACTCGACGCTATTATTTGCTTATGCTTGTTTGGAAATACATTAAGCGCTAATCGACATTTCCCCGTGTTTTGAAAACGTATATATAAGCCGACAATGGGCGATGTAATTTTCGGACGACGTATAAGTACGTCAATAGCAGTTTGAGTGTTAACAGTTTATTTTTGTTTATATTCTGAAGTGTCTCTCGGGTAAGCATTGTAGGATTTGGTTACTTTTAGAAATAATAGTTTCTACATAGTCGGTAGGTTGAAAGGAAAAGAACAAAAAACGATTTAACACATCTGAGCAGTCAAAAAAAGAGGACACTTCAGTAGGTGGTAGGATTTTATGTGCTCTGGGTGGGGCCAAATGGGTCAGTCGTCCATAACGGGCCCACCAATGCGTATAATAGATTATGCTCTATCTAAGAAACAAGCGCTGAATGTCTACAGACCTGTGTAAATGAGATTTCATTTCAAACACTTTTCTCTCTCTTTTGTCTCTCTCTTTTGACTATCTTCTCACTCTCTCTTCTTTCTTTCTTTCTCTTTTGCTTTTTCTTTTCCCTTTTTTTATCTCTTTACTCTCTCTTCTTTCCCCTCTTTCTCACTTTTCTATCTTCTCTCTCTTTGCACTCACTCTTTTCTCTCTTCTCCCACTCTCTTTACCCAATACCCTCTCTCCTTTTTCTCTATTATTTCTCTCCCTTCTTTGCTCGCTTCTCTCTCTCTCTCTTACTCTCTGTATTTTCTCTCCTCTTCCTCGCTTTTCTTTCTCTTCTTTTTCTCTCTCTCTCTCTCTCTCTCTCTCTCTTCTTTCTCTATTTTCTCTTTCTCACTTTCCTCACTTCTCCCTCTCTCTTATCTCTCGTTTTCTCTCTCATCTTTCTCTATTTTCGCTTTCTTTTCTCTCTTTATTTCCTGTTTTTTCTCTATTCTCTGTCTTTCTTTCTCACGCGCTCTTCTCTCTCTCTCTCTTCTCTCACATCCCCCCTCTCTCTTCTCTCTCTCCTTCCTCACTCTTCTCCCCTTTCTTTTCTCGCTTCTCTCATTCTCTTTTGTCTCGCTGTGTCTTTTGTCTCTTCTTCTTCTCTTTCTCTAATTTCTCTCTTTTCCCTTCTGATGTATATATATATAAATTTAAATATATATATATGTGTGTGTATGTGTATGAATTTGAAATATGAATTTATATAAATATATTTTTTTTAATATATATATATATATATATATATATATATATATATATATATATATAATCGACTCTCCGTCGAGATTCGACGTATGAGGGTCAAGTAGATCAGTTTCAAGGAAACTGACAGCCTGACACCGGCACATGAGATTTGATTATAGTGGTGAAGGTTTCGTGCCGGACCATCCACACAGTTTTGAAGGGACGAATACAGAGACCTGGTACACCGAATGCCACAAGGTTCCCAAACGACCCTGCGCAGGTTTTGAAATCAGAGTTGTCCTTCTCCTAGACCAGTTGCCATCCAAGGCTACAGAACCCAGTCTGTCCTGCTATTTTACCCATAGCTAGAGGGAGAGTAAGAGGATTCATACCTTTTCCAAGGGTATTAGCACGTAAGTGAATGTAATTCGAACTCGGCTCTGCGATTCCTCAATCCGAGCCGCTATCCATTACTCCACCGTGCCTCCTCTCTCTCTCTCTCTCTCTCTCTCTCTCTCTATATATATATATATATATATATATATATATATATATATATATATATATATATATATATATATTTGAAATTAGACATTGCTAGAAATGAAGTTTTTCCATCAAGATAATATTTGGTTATTACTTTTTTTCCAATATTTGTTTCTTCTGGATTTGATTTTTCTGGATATTTGAATGGCAAATAATTATTGATTGTATTTAATTATTATTTCTTCTTTTTATTTCAGAACCACTCCCAACAGAACAGCGATCATGTACCATCGCCCCTGTTTTCCAACATTCCCCTTTCATCCGCGCCTTCATGGAATTAACTGAAGATGGACATGGCTGCTTCAGCAACCAGACCATTAACAGCATGGAGGTTCATGTCATCTACCTTGATAACCACCTGAGACATAACGCTGATGTCTACCTGGAAATCATAGCCAACAACAAAGGTTTTTATATTTATTTATTTATTTATTACAGTTTCCACGTATAACATATTGGTTCCATTACCCATGAAAGGACTGTTAAAAACATCTCTCTCCAGAAATCCTATAGATGCATGCTGGGATTTCGTCCTAACCAGAATTTCAACCATAACTTTGATGTAAGGAACCCCACACTTATCAAAAGAAAAAGTAACTCGAAAGTGCCGTTATTGAATCTTATTAAAACATAAATCTACACCCGAGATATTTTCAAATACAGTAGAATCCCTGACAACCGGACTAAGAACCGCCTTCCGGATTTGAGGAATTGGTTACAAAGTCCGGATATGGGGAGTTATGTTTAGATTAAAATAAAAGAACTGAAATCAGGTTTAACATTTATTTTCAATGTTTTATAGTAAACAAAATAACCTAATGGTGATTGAAATATAACGGAATTGATTTTAAGGAAAAAGAAATAAATTATGTAATGTTAATGAAATTCATTAAATTATGTATGCCATGTATGCAAAACAAATAATGTAACGAGGATTTTTTTAATCACTGTTGCATGATGATTTTTTCTCTTCTGGTGTCATTCTCAACTTTTTCCGCATTTCGTTTTGTTTTTGTTCTTGAAATATTTTTAATCGAAAGACACTTTTTAACTCTGCGTGCGTTATTGCAATCGTCATAGCTGAATGCTGGCTTTCTTTCCATAAAACTGTTAACCTTTTCAATAGCTACTTCAATTTCAGTCAAGGTTTCATCACAATCATGTTTTTTTTTTATTTCCTTGTTCATTGTGACAGTGTGAACGCTGGAGAATAGTTTCTTTGGAAGATTTTATATCATACGATATTGACTTTCCTATGCTGAAATTAGTTACAATGAACTTTCACCAGCAACTAGTCTGTTTAAAATGTTCACTTTTTGCGATAATTTCAAAGTTGTTCTTTTCCTCTTATTCCCATCCTTTGCATCTATACAAGCCATCAGGATGAAATAAACATAAGCTCCAGACCTCAAGTGGAACTTATATATTCGATCTATTGCTAAAGATGCTGGAATGATAGATGGAGGTTCTCTCAAGCAGATTCCTTGTCTTGAATGTCTCTTGGGACTCAAGCTCTTCCCAGACCTCAAGTGGAACTCATACGTCCGATCTATTGCTCAAGAGGCTGGAATGATAGACGGGTGTTCTCTTAAGCAAGTTCCTTATCTTGAACGTCTATTGCAGTGATTCACAAACTTTTTGAAGTCGAGGCGCACTTGAAATCCTACCAATAATTGTAGGTGCACAATATACAAATTTCGGAAAAATATGTAAAAATGAAGTCAAATATTGCAGAAAAGAAATAATGCAATAAAAAAAATATTATATGAAACATACCTTAAGTTTATTCATTCTTATGTTTATGAGAAACATGAGCCTGATGAGTCTTAGCGATTTCTTCAATGTTTGGTTGTATATTTGACAGGCGAACTCTCATTTCCTCCTCAATACATTAAAGAGTTCCTCTCTTTTTGCACTTAGTTGGGGTGAGAGTAGAAAAGCCTAATTCACATAAATATGAACGGGACGAATAACAAAATATAATAAAGTACATTTATTTCTTATATCTGGACACATATTTCTCTGGAATGACAGGGCGTACCTAGACATCTTCCAGGCGTACCATGGCGCCCAGCCGCGCCATTTGAGAACCATTGGTCTATTGGGACTCAAGCTCTCCCCGGACCTCAAGTGGAATTCATATATCCGATCCATTGCTAAAGATGTTGGGTGAATGGTTGATTCATTGTACCAGTAAGTATCTCACTCCCTCTGCTATACACGAATAAGATCAGAACAAAAGTGGAGGATTGCTGCCATATCTGGTCTGGAGCTGCCCAATCTCACTTCAAAAGCATCTACACATACTTGTGGGTGATGGATTATTTTTCACCCCACAGATGAAATGTCACGTGCCTCTCGCTACCCTATTGCTATTCCCGCGGCATATGTTCTGACGAGCTAGACTCCTTAGTCTCACAGCCCCTGACCTTTACAACTGGGACCCGTCATGCCACGTAACAAGATTGAACCATCCTCATTCCCTTTGTATTCCATGAGTAAGGAAGAAGATCCATTTGGACAGCTTCTTCTCAAGAACTGCTGTTTTTTTGGAACAGACTCTCGACAGGATGTTTTTCCCAATCACTACAATCTTGACCTTAGGGTACTTCGACGTGGTGTAATGGTTAGCAAGCTTGTCTCGCTAGAACAATTACAAATGAAGAGTGAGTTCGATCTTCACTAAGTGCTCCATACTTTCGGCCTTGTGCCACCTCTAAGATACACTTAGGAAAACCACCACTACAATCTTGACCTATCCGTTATCTTTCCTGCATACACCAATGAATTTCAGTAGTCCTTGGTATGACGATAAACTACATCCGGCAGCAACGGCTCTGATGTGGAAGTTTTGAGTAGTGTTCCCAGGTTCATCTTGATCCGGGATGGTAGCACCTGTTAGGGTCCCAGTTACGTGCAAAGAGTGAACCCTCAAACAAAAATCGTCTCACTGTCTGTGAGAAAAAGAGCACCATGACGCAATTCACTCCGCCAGAAATTTGGAAACGGCATGTTGAACTGCTTGGCATTCGCACCAGAAGCTCCAATACGAACATTTCAGAGTGTTTGGGTGTCAATCTGAGGATAATGCAGAGGATTCGGAGTTGGATGAGTCTAATGGTGATTACGAAGTTAGATTAATCTAATGGTGATCATTCTAATCGTTCTGATAAGAAAAGAACTCCTAAATTTGTTGGTGAGGGCATCAGAGAGCTACATCAAGTGCCTTGAAGAGGTAGTGCTTCCCTGGGTCAAGAGGGTGGCTGCTGGAAGACCCTATGTCTGTCAACAGGACTCTGCACCATGCCACACATGCAGGAGAACCCTGTCAGGGCAGTCAGACTATTTCTGAAACTACATTAACCCTTACATCTGGACAGCCCCCTGATTTTTATGGGGGGGGCGCAGTTGAGCGAGAGACCAACAAAACTCCTTGTAATACCAAAGATGAACTGAAGGAAAGAATTATGGCAGCAGGAGATTCCGAAGTCGTCTGGAGGCTGTGGTTGAATTCAATGGCGATTTTATTGAACAAATTTACTCTTTAGTATTTCATAATATTTTTGTGTAACTTTGGTAAATATATCTGTTAAAATGAGATGTCAATATTATTTTCATTTTTGTGTCATTTAGACGACAATTTATTCATCGCACCCTGTATATGTAGGTGAAGCCGTAAAAATTCCATAAAAATATTTAGATTTCGGCATTAAATAACCCACAGAGGTGTTGATATGCCACTAAAAATATAATGAAAAAAAATTAACCAGCAGTCTTTACTTTACGGTCAGGTGCTTGTAATAAGCACAGATGTTATGACATAAGCGAGGAATTCACTGGGGTTATTTGGCAGAAGTATTCAGAAATTACTTGAAAATCTGACGTGTGACTTCCTAAATATTAAGGAGAAGCAATTTCTAGGGTGTTCGAAGTACTCCACGACACTAACAGAGAATTAATGTTATTACTTTCAAATATATATTTTACTTTTTTTTTATTTTCCAGACCCCACACATCAAGCAACACAGTTCATCTTCATTCTCAGTTCTCGAAAACAGATCACATGGAAAATACGCCTACCAAATATCAAATATACTGCGGGTAAACATCTCATCGTGGTAAGTAAACCATTTTTCTTTGTCTGCCTTATTTGTTAATACTTTCACAAGCAGCCATTTTTAATGGATGTTTTTTAAATATCACACAAGGATCTGTCTTCTTAAAGTAAACTATAATGAAGAACATCCTCGATTGAACGGATCCTTTAGGTCTTAAAAAAGAAAATTCCGCATCAGAGCCTATTGACTGGCGTTAGAAAAATCACAAAGAACTTTAACAATAGAAACTACATCACTTGTAGACTTCCAACAGCAGCAACAACACAAATGGATAGCACATGTGACTAGATGGGAAATAATGATTTTTTTTTTCACCCGAAGCAAGGCGGGAAGTCACTAGGATGCGATGGGGTTACAGAGGATTTGGAGCGAGAGCAGATAGGAGTGATAGAGGAAAGGATAGTGGATAGATCAAGGCAACTGGAGATGTCGATTGAGATTACATTTGAATAGTTGGAGATTATAGTTCTCAGGGAAACAGGAATAAGGAAGGGAGTTCCACAGGCGAGAGGTGCGAGATATGTAGCTATTGGAGTAGAAGAGACGGCTACATTTAATAGTTTCAACAGTGAAAGGGTGAGAGCGGGATGTCAGTCTCGTAGGGCGCTTGAATTCATAAAGTCTGGGAACCAGCGAATGCAGCTCCTCGGAGCAATTACCATGAAAATATAATCAAGATTTTGATCTTCCACACTGTCTTAAACAAACGACCCGGAAGGAAACGCCTTTCAATACTAGAAAGAATGATATTAATTAGTGAACTTCAGAATTTTCGGAAAAAAAAAACTGTTAAAGAAAAGATTTTCTAAATTTGAGCCAATTTAGGCCTTTCTCAAGAATGAATTCAGCTTTAATTTTAATAAATTATATTTTTTTTTATTATTATTTACATTATTTATATTTGGACTACTGTCTTCATCTTTGTTGTTGTTATCACAACGTTTTGGTCGTTAGGCTTTCCGGTCTTCATCAGGTGTATTTAGATCTGGTTAACCAACAGATGAATGTCTGATAGTGCAAACAATCATAATTCCTCATCCCAGAAATTCAGACAGAAATATTTTCATTTTTCTGGTAACTCTTTTGATGGGCTTTCCTCCTCCTCAGGACTTTATAAATTAAAGCTCGTTATTAGATTGGCAGCTAGGTTTCATCATTTTACATTTG